TGAGGTTGTAGTCCATCACAGCTGCATGTTGTAGAATGGGTCCATTGGTCTCTCTATTCTGCCTGCCACTATCTGCCATTTTGTTTCAGTGAATTGATGTCAACAATGTGACATCATGTTTGTCATGCCACAGAAATGCCATGGCGTCATTGGCAGAAAACACCTGCACCTCACCTCTGTGAATGCCTGCGTCGAACCTAGGCATATGCTTATAATTTCCACGCACTGTGCCACATACGTCTATCATATTCACTCCCAAGAAATCACTGAGTAAGGGGCTTGTGTACCAGTTATCAGTATATAATATATGCCCCTTACCAAGAAATGGGTCCATCATTGTTCTAACCACATCACCAGAGATACCCAATAACTTCCTGGTATCTTGCAATGTATTACTGCCAGTGTGCACAATTATATAAAAAAACAGACCACTTTTGTAGTCACGCAGTACAAATAACTTTATACCAAAGCATTTCTTCTTGCTTGGTATATACTGCTTGAACGACAGTCTGCCTTTGAACAAAGTCAAAGACTCATCAATAACAAGCTTCCTGAAGGGATAAAAATACATACAGCACTTTTGTTTCAGGTACATAAACACATTCGTGATCTTATACAACCTGTCATTTCTGTCAGGCCTTGTTTTGTCTGAGAAGTGTAGTAGCAGTAGCAGAAATCGATTCACTGGTATAATGTCTCTGAAAGATTTGGTTGAAATCAGTCGGTCTGTCGTCCAGTATGTGGTGACAGTGTGCTTATACACATGTGGCATAAGCTTAATTGTGGCAAAGAACAAGTACATCTCTGCCACAGTTGTGTCCTTCCACTGGTGTAGCCATGATCTTGGTGGAATAATTGTGTTTGCCATATTGTACTTGTAGTATGTGTTGCTTTCCCTGACAATAATTTCCATCGGGGGCTCATTGCACAATAACTGAAAGCATTCCAGTTCAGTGAAATTGTTCCCAAGTGTACATGATGGCTGTATTCCACTTTGTGTTTCATCACAGTGATGGGGATTGGGAACAAAATTAGCACCTTGCTGCCAATCCCAGATGCGGTCTGCTCGTGGGTAGTGGATATTGACAGGTGGTTGTGGAGGTTGTGGAGGTTGTGGGAGTGTGGGGTGTTTGAAAGTGGGCTTTGTTGTGGCTGGGGTGAGTCGGCAGTGTGGGTACCAGCATGGCCTGCTCCTGGTGCCACATGAGGCATGCCACCGCCAACGCTACTAACACTACCACCTACTGTCCCATGCACATTAGTCATCCCCATTGTCACAGTATCATCATCTTCACTATAAGTTTTTGTTGTAGGGCCACAGGATACACTCCAAGATTTACTTCTTCCCCTTGGAATGGCATATGGCACACTACCAGAGTGCATGCTGCATTGCACATACTGCTGCTTCACTAGAGAATACAGTGGTCCCTCGCATTTCGTAGTTCTCGGCAATCGTAAATTTCGCCAATCATAGGGGTATTTTCGTATAAACATGGACTCGCTTTTCATAGGTTGACTCGCGAATAGTAGTTCATCCGGGACATGTATGCACGGTGTGAGCCAGGGCGGCCTCCCTACCCAGCCAGTCTGGCATTGTTTACCAGTGAGTGAAGGTCCCCTCAAGTGCTCCTACGAAATATTTCATAATATTCCACTCATTTTAGTGCTTGCAATTACTAAATAAGCTACCATGGCTCCAAAGAAAGCTCCTAGTGTCAAGCCTGTGGTAAAGAAGGTGAGAAATATGTACAGTGACAAAGTCTTGGGCCATTTTTGGGAAGTGTTAAAGAGACGCCAGAAACAGAGCTCTCTCCACAGTTACTTTGCGAGACAGAACTAGAATGACTCTCAAGGTGGTCCTAGTGGCATTAAGAAACAGAGAAGAGAAGCAACCCCAGAGAAGCAATTGGTACCTGAGGTGTTGCTGGAAGGGGATTCCCCTTCCAAACTGTAAACAATCCAATCTCTCTCCTCTTCCAGTCCTCCCATCCACTAAGAAGAATCTCCAATAAAGGTAAGTGTTATGCTGCAAATGTTTCATTCATCATTTCCCATTGTTTTGTTTATGTATATATGTAATTTCATGTAAAAAAAATTTTTTGTTTTAATACTTCTGGGTGTCAGGAACGGATTAATTGTATTTACATTATTTCTTATGGGGAAAATTGATTCGCAAATCATAAATTTTGTTTATAGTAAGGGCTCCAGGAACGGATTTTTTTCAAAAAAAGGGGGACCACTGTATTCCCCCCTTACTGTCACAAAATCGAAGTGCTTTCATACTTGGGAATCATACAATATCATTTTCATTGCTACATCTGAGTTGTACATGGGGAAAGAGTTTCCTCTTTTGCCCTGGTACAGGTGATTGTGAATGAGATGGCACAGCACCATAGGTGGAAGGTTGTGGGTCGTCTGGGTTTTCACCACTAATTACATTATCCTGGGCATTGCTTTCAGTCACACCCTCCTGAAAACCATGGAATTCATTTTCTCTGGTACTTCCATCAGTTGATAAATTAGACACAAGTGCAACTCTTGGGTATCTTTATTGAGGAAACGTTTTGCCACACAGTGGCTTCATCAGTCCATACATAGGAGAAACTTGAAGAACAGGAGGAGAATGAGGTAATCAGTCCCTCAACCTTGAGTTGATATGTTCAATCCATCAATCTTGAATAGAATACGGCATATGAGCGAAGAAGCAGCTTATATGCCGTATTCTATTCAAGATTGATGGACTGAACACATCGACTCAAGGTTGAGGGACTGATTACCTCATTCTCCTCCTGTTCTTCAAGTTTCTCCTACGTATGGACTGATGAAGCCACTGTGTGGCGAAACGTTTCCTCAATAAAGATACCCAAGAGTTGCACTTGTGTCTAATTTATGAACATGTCGGTTCTCTGAACCATTCATCTACACTTCCATCAGTGTTAGAACTATCACTCGGGAACAGAGGATCTCCAGTTTGCCGGGAGGTAAGGTATTTCTTACCTCTAGGCATAGTGAACAAGGACTACTAAAATGGCATTCCCACAATGCACCACTGAGTCCCCAATTTTTTTTGTACTGCACACACCCATTATGCAGACCCATTCTCTCACATGTAGGCCTACCAGTTTTCTTCCACTTGATCTGAAGCCACTAGAATTTATGTGTTTTAATGCATCAAAAACGTTGGCTTATAAGACGTATATATATGACAGAAACAGTCAAATGTTTAATAGCTCCTGGAGCAGGAGATACCTCAGTTTGGTGTGCCATAGTTGCTTCAACCCTTAATTTGGTATGAATAATGTTACGAAGCAGTGCAGCAGTAAGAGTTTGTTGGTATTCTATGCGATTGGAACGAGCCAGTCACCAGCAATGCTGTAGAAATAGTTTGGGCAGATTTAGGAGAGTATACTCAGACACCAGCCGCCTCACCAGTGTTGGTGGCATAACCACACATAAAACATTATTTGTAGTGCATACAGTAGGCAGTAATAGCACAGTACAACTTGCAAGATACACACAGTAGCAAGACTGACAGGCAATACAAAACACGATAGTGATGCAATCTGACCGATACCACGACCAGCTCTAGCTCTAGCTCCAGCTCCAGGACAGTGCTCCCATATTAGGAACACAAGTAATGCCTGTGAGACTTGGTAATGGGAATTGGAGCAAACAAACTCAACAGTAGACTTTTATGTATATTTTGCCTCACCTACTTTATACAGATATGTATACTATGTACAATATGTACAGATAGAATGATAAATGTACACCATGGTGACAGATGACAAAGCAAAAGCCAGAGAGAGTGCACCGTACTCACCCAGCAGGTAGGCAAGTCTACCGGTTGTGCTTCCCGCAAGTGAACCACATTGCTTCAGCTTTCGTGGGCTTGCCTGTGATTGGTTAATGAACCATGGTACCAATTTAACAACAGGTACCCTATTGATTGTTAAACTCTTAGCACCTGGTTCACTGGTTGGGAGGTAGCCTATAAGGGAGTGTGACATACGCTGAATAAATTGTAACATACTCTTTGCATGCTACAATGATTGTGGTACTATCATAATTGTGTGGTCCATGACTGTGGCACTATCATAGTTGTACTTCAGAAAAACTTGTCTAGCACTTGTTCAACCTCAATGTTGCTTATTTGGGGCCATTGTATTGTTCATTAAATTTAATATTTTTACCTCTGAAACTGACTGTCTTTCCAGTAAAGAATTAGCTGCTAATCTCTCTTCTTTTCTTTTGCAGCTCATCCTTTACCAGAAGAATTGCTCTTGCCAGGGCAGAATCCATTGATACAAAGTCTCATGCCAGTGTCAGTGGTACTGTAGATATATAGTTGTATCAGTGTGTGATATGACGACACGTGCTAGAGCATGAGAATCACTGGATGAAGAGTGTCATCAATCAGTATTTTAATTTTCATCTATCACAAACATTTCCTAAAAAACTGAGAAATACTTTCAATTCATACCTAGAAATAAAAAAAAATTGTTTATGAATTATCTTTAGAAAATATTACCATACTTTATATTCATTGCATTAAACAATTACAGCTATCAAGCATGAATAATTCATGAAAATTTCATGCAAATGTTAGACACATTTGTTTATAATATCGTTTCAAAACAAAATATTACCTTAAAAGACATTTTTATACAATTCTGGATTTCTAAAACAATTTGCAGTAAAACAGACAACAATGTTTCACTTGGTGACAATAGATATCACAATAATTGGATCTAAGCAGCACTCAACTTACTTGCTGTTAAGAAATCAGTTATGAAACAAGTACTAAACATAGAATGAACAACTTAAATAATCATCACTATTTTGTACATCATGCAAAGTGTAACATGGAAATATTATATAAACCAAATTCTGTATTTGTTAAACACTTACCTTAAAGTTTCACTTTGTTTAAAGCAGGAATTTGTGTCTAGTATAAGAAATTTTTTTTGTTCATAAGACATAGTGCACAATTTAACCACGTAGTGTTGTGGTGTGTAAGAGAATATATTAGTCATTGTATAAACCATTGAAGAAAGAACAAATCATTGGACACTAAAAGTTCTTCCCAAAAATATGCGTTTGTTACAATTCATTGGAATATGCCTGAAAAAATATGGCTAACATCATGTTCATCATCACCTGCATTTGATTTAATTATTACCTTCCCTCCTAATTGCCCTTTATAATTGCGTATTTAAAATACAGCAGCAGGGCTAGTCTTGTGGTCTTCAGTATTAAGTTTTCCATAAATTTTTTTTTTTTTTTCAGATGCAACACATACTAACTTATTTTGTAATCCATTCCATAGTTTTACTGCTCTGTTTATAAAGTTTTTTCTAGTATCTTTTAGTACCTCTTTTATATATTATCTATGACTGCTTATGCTGTTTATAAATGGTATTAGGAACTCTTTCAATAATTGTTTTAAATCCTTGTATAGTCTTACATGTGGTTGTCATGACCTGTGTCTTCCTTCTGTCATGTATGGTTGCTGTATCAACTACTTTCATCCTTCCTATCTAAATTATATTAAGTTCTGAGAACCATTTTCTATTTTTTTTTAGGCATTTTATCAGTTTATTTGCAATTTTTTTTTTTTTTTTTTTTTTTGCTGTATATTTAAAATTTGGTCTAATATGTTTAGGGAATTCTCTTCACTGCTATTTCTTTTGTTTTATTAGCATATTGTTTGCTCTTTGTATATCAGCCACTTTACTTTCATTGTGAAATCTTGAAGATTCTATAAAGTTTGTTTTATTCTTTTAAAGCCTTTAACTAATGCTGTCCACTATGGTCCTATTGCCTTTTTCTTGTCTACCCTCTTCTTTAGACATTTCAGTATTTCTTTAGATATTCAGTTGGCTGTTTGGGGTTAAAATCTATGAGATCCAATTTGTCATTGTTGTGAAGAGACTGGGAACCTCGCCAGTAGTCTCCCCCACACGTCTTCCTCGGAGTGGGTGATTTTGATTTCATTTGCAACTTTTTTGTAGCTTCTCTTTCTCTCTTGGTTTGCTGTTTACAAACGTTCAACAAAAGTTTTGATTTCATCTTTGCAGCATTAATTAGCCTTGTAGTATTATAACTTTTTAATAAATAAACATACAGTAAACATGAGTAATCACACAGAAAAGAATGTATATCCTTGTCCAGAATGTCAAAAAAAGTTTTCTGGAAAAACACCTTTAAATGCCCACTTGAAAACTCATACAAGAGAGAAACCATATCAGTGCTCAGAGTGCTTGAAGAGCTTTTCATTAAAGTCATATCTAGTGAAACACGCAAGAGTTCATACTGGTAAGAAACCACATCATTGCTCAGAGTGTCTAAAAACCTTTTTGACAAAATCACATTTAGATTCCCACTTACGAGTTCATTCAGGAGAGAAACCATATCAGTGTTCAGAATGTGTAAAGTCCTTCACACATAAATCAAACTTAATAAAGCACATGAGAGCTCATACTGGTGAGAAACTGTACCAGTGTTCAGTGTGTAACAAAGACTTTACTTATGAATCAAGTCTAATAAGCCATTTCCGAGCTCATACAGGAGACAAATATCAGTGTTCAGTGTGTAAGAAAGACTTTTTCTATAAATCAAGTCTAATAAGTCACTTAAGAGTTCATACAGGAGAGAATCTATATCGTTGCTCAGTGTGTCTGAAAACCTTTTTAAAAAAATCAAAACTTATTACCCACTCTAGAATTCATACAAATGAAAAACCATACCAGTGTTCAGTGTGTCAGAAAGGCTTTAATCAGAAATCAGGTTTAATAGGTCACTTGGGCATTCATACAGGAGAGAAACCACATCAATGTTTAGAGTGTTTGAAGACCTTTTTAACAAAAGCACATCTAGATACTCACATGAGAGTTCATACCGGTGATAAGCCATATCAGTGCTCAGTATGTCTAAAGGTTTTCTCTATAAAATCAAGTCTTGCAAGACACTTGAAAGTTCATACTGGAGAGAAACCATACATCTGTTCAGTTTGTGAGAAAGGTTTTAATAATAAATCCAATCTAACAAGTCACCAGAGAGTTCATGCAGGTGAAAAACCACATCAGTGTTCTCTGTGTCTTAAAGTCTTTTCAAAAAAAGCACATCTAGATTCCCACATGAGAGTTCATACAGGAGAGAAGCCATTTCAATGTTCAGTATGCCATAAGGATTTTTCCCCATAAATCAAGTCTAATATATCACATGGGAGTCCATACAAGAGAGAGCTCTTATCAGTGTTCAGTGAATCAAACAGATATTTCTCAGAAATCGAGTCTAATAAAGCAGTTTCGAGCTCATGTCATAGAGAAATCATATGTCTCCAAGACTTCTGAAAAATCAGAAATAAAAAAATAGTGAATGCATCAAATATACCAACATTAATTTTTTGCATTGTAATTTGCCGACTCGCTATAGGATTATTAGTATTTATCAGTCGTATAATTCTTCATGGGTTACTACCATGCCTTCTTCAAGAAGGCACTGGACAGGCACCTAAAGTGAGTACCTGACAAGCCGGGCTGTGGTTCGTATGTCACTTTTTATGCAGCCAACATTAACAGCCTGGTTGATCAAGCTCTGATTCACCACAAGGCCTGGTCATTGATCCCCAAAACCCCTTTCCAAGTATAATCCAGGTATACCATTAACTTAGAATGGAATTTATGGCTACCTCACTTGACATGACATTTGTGAATCTTCAATTGAATCTTGTATATACTTTGATATGAGAGTTGATGATCCTGATAGATTCTTCATTAGCCCTTAATATCAAATGCCCTGAAATAAAATGTCCTTTGAATGTTATGAATTTAAAAAAAAAAAAAGTTGATTTAAACTAATAGAGCAAAATAGTCTAAAGAAAATAAAACTAATGAAATTAGTTCTACACACATGGAATTATGGAGAGAAGTTGAAGGTTGTGAAGCATTTGATGTCAACAGCAGGTCTTGCTGCATGGCAACCAATGTTTTCTTTTTGTATTTTCAGTTTTTCTTATTTTTTACATGTTTTCATTTATTTTATTTTTTTTTTATTATCACACCGGCCGATTCCCACCAAGGCAGGGTGGCCCGAAAAAGAAAAACTTTCACCATCATTCACTCCATCACTGTCTTGCCAGAAGGGTGCTTTACACTACAGTTTTTAAACTGCAACATTAACACCCCTCCTTCAGAGTGCAGGCACTGTACTTCCCATCTCCAGGACTCAAGTCCGGCCTGCCGGTTTCCCTGAATCCCTTCATAAATGTTACTTTGCTCACACTCCAACAGCACGTCAAGTATTAAAAACCATTTGTCTCCATTCACCTCCTATCAAACACGCTCAAGCATGCCTGCTGGAAGTCCAAGCCCCTCGCACACAAAACCTCCTTTACCCCTCCCTCCAACCCTTCCTAGGCCGACCCCTACCCCGCCTTCCTTCCACTACAGACTGATACACTCTTGAAGTCATTCTGTTTCGCTCCATTCTCTCTACATGTCCGAACCACCTCAACAACCCTTCCTCAGCCCTCTGGACAACAGTTTTGGTAATCCCGCACCTCCTCCTAACTTCCAAACTACGAATTCTCTGCATTATATTCACACCACACATTGCCCTCAGACATGACATCTCCACTGCCTCCAGCCTTCTCCTCGCTGCAAACATTCATCACCCACGCTTCACACCCATATAAGAGCGTTGGTAAAACTATACTCTCATACATTCCCCTCTTGCCTCCAAGGACAAAGTTCTTTGTCTCCACAGACTCCTAAGTGCACCACTCACTCTTTTTCCCTCATCAATTCTATGATTCACCTCATCTTTCATAGACCCATCCGCTGACACGTCCACTCCCAAATATCTGAATACGTTCACCTCCTCCATACTCTCTCCCTCCAATCTGATATTCAATCTTTCATCACCTAATCTTTTTGTTATCCTCATAACCTTACTCTTTCCTGTATTCACCTTTAATTTTCTTCTTTTGCACACCCTACCAAATTCATCCACCAATCTCTGCAACTTCTCTGGTGGATGAATTTGGTAGGGTGTGCAAAAGAAGAATGATTATTATTATTATAATCAAAGAAAGCACTAAACCATCAAGGGTCATGCAGTGCTCCAGGGCAGAAAATAATGCTGGGGCCATAAACAACTAGGTGGAGAGGTGATCAGAAGTGAAGGGAGAAAAGGGCTGGAAGGGACACTAAGAGCTGTGTGTCAAGGTTCGTACAGTAAAGCAGTTGCTGACAAAAAGTAAAAAAGTGAATGTAAGCCAAAGACTTGACCGTCTGCCAAGCCTTTGACTTACATCCACTTTTTTACTTTTGACTTACAGCCGACCTGCCAAGTCTGTCTTGGCAGGTCGGCGGTGTCGTTGGTGGTAAGTCCTGTGAGCTCGCGGGTAAACCAAGCAGTTAACAAGAAAGTGAAAAACTGAAATAGGGACCTAACAAGCCTCACAGAGAGGAATAGGGCATCTTTCCATGAGATACCCATGGGTAAGGCGTGTATGGCCAGTGCGGAGCCGGGAGAGCACAGTCTCCCAAGAATGGCAACAGGGGTAAGATGGACACAAACCTAAAAGCGGTTTAATAGAGTGCAATTTGTTATGGTGCATGCCTGACCACCATTGGTGCCAATGGCTGTGAAGACAGGCCAAGATGACTGGAAAATAATCCCTGAACGGATACTTCCTTAGTGCTCTACAGGCTATATGAAAATTTGATACACCTCACCCCCTAGTCCTCCGTATCCAACTTTGGCTACACCGTGTCTCTACCAAGCATAAAGATAATGTTTTTTTGTTGGGTCCCTGGTCATGTTGACATACAGGGCAATGAACAGGCAGACACTGCTGCGCGATCAGCAGTACATGACCTACCATTTTCATATAGAGGTGTTCCATTTACGGACTATTTTGCTGTAATAGCTACCCACCTTCACACCCGTTGGCAACAACGTTGGTCTAATCTACTGGGTAACAAACTTTATTCTATCAAACCGAGTATAGATTACTGGCCGTCTTCTTGTCATCATTGTTGAGGTTGGGAGAGTACTCTCTCCTGTCTTCGCATTGGCCACACTCATCTTACTCATGGAGAGGCACCCTGTTCCTCTCTGTGAGACATGTCAGGTTCCCGTATCGGTTAGCCACATTCTGATAGACTGCCCTCTCTATCAACGAGCACGCAGAATTTACCTCGCACGCAGAATTTACCTCGAACGTCGTCTCCATTCTACTACTCTCTCTTTACCTTCCCTTCTTGCTTATGGACCCTCCTTTAGACCTGACTCTCTCATTGACTTCTTGATAACAACTGACTTACTCCACAAACTCTGATGACGATACCTTTCGCACTCCCCTCGGCCCTTTCTACCTCAATCTCTTGCTACCCTCTACCCCTGCACTATCCACTGCCCCACTGTACTCTGTAACCTACTAATCATCCATCTTCCTTTTGCCACCCGATACTCTCGCTTCCTTCCCTGCCCTGCAGTGCTTATGGCCCTTGTGGTTTAGCGCTTCTTTTTTATTATATTAACAAATTGCATTCTATTAAACCAAGTGTAAGTTTCTGGTTGTCTTCTTGCCATAACTGTTGAAGTTGGGAGACTAATCTCTCTCATCTTTGCATCAACCACACTCCTCATACTCATGGATATCTCATGGAGAGGTGTGCTGTTCCACTCTGAGACTTGTCATGTTCCAATTTCGGTTAGCCATATTCTGTTGGACTGTCCACTCTAACAGTGAGCATGCAGAATTTACCTCCAACATCATCACTGCTCTACTGCCCTTACTTTACCTTCCCTTCTTGCTGATGGACCCTCCTTTAACCCAGACAGCAACTGATTTACTGTGCAAACTCTGATGATGCCTCTAGCACTCCTCACAGCCCTTTCTACCTCACTCTCTTGCTACCCTCTGTCAGTGGAATGCCTTCCATCTGAGCAAAAAACTAATGGAAAAAATAAATGTATAAATAAAGAAACAACTCTAGGAATAATAAGAATATGTATTGTCTTTTGTGGATTTTACTTAAAATTTAAATATAATAAAAGTGGCCGTCGGTTCTGGTGCTGTGTTTGGACAGGAGTAGGTAAGGCCCTGGATGGATCTCTTTAACCCTTTCAGGGTTTCGGATGTACTAGTACAGCTTACTGCACCAGGGTTTTTGACGTACTAGTACGCCTAAATTCTAGTGCCCTCAAATCTAGTGAGAGAAAGCTGGTAGGCCTACATATGAAAGAATGGGTCTATGTGGTCAGTGTGTGCAGTATAAAAAAAATCCTGCAGCACAGTGCATAATGAGAAAAAAAAAAAACTTTGTGTTTTTGGATTAAAACAGGGACTTTGCACTGTATTTTCGTATGGTATTGTATTCTAGTTTTCCTGGTCTCATCTTATAGAATGGAAGACATATTACAGAAATTGAGATGATTTTGACTGGTTTTACAATGAAAAGTACCTTGAAATTGAGCTCAAAGTAGCAGAAATGTTCGATTTTTACCAAAGTTCAAAAGTAAATAAATCATGCTAAGCATCCAATACACGTCAACTGGCGAGTCTAATATTCTTTCACAAGTGCGCCGATATTATTTATACCATTTCTTCACTAATGCATATTCTGCATAACAGTAAATCTTCTATTTTTTGTGAGAATAAAAATTCAAAGTGGAAAGCAAAAGAATGTAAGAGGGGCATGGGGACGTGATTAATGAACAGAGGAAATGTTCAGTGCCAGGAATGTCTTTCTTGTTTATTCTGGACCCTTTTTCTGTCTCATAAACACGCTAAGATAACAGGGATATCTTGCTACTCCTACTTACACTTTGGTCACACTTCACAGACACGCACATGCATATATATATATATATACATACATCTAGGTTTTTCTCCTTTTTCTAAATAGCTCTTGTTCTTTTTTATTTCTTCTATTGTCCATGGGGAAGTGGAAAAGAATCTTTCCTCCGTAAGCCATGCGTGTCGTATGAGGCGACTAAAATGCCGGGAGCAATGGGCTAGTAACCCCTTCTCCTGTATACAATTACTAAAAAAAGAGAAGAAGAAAAACTTTATAAAACTGGTTGCTTAAATGTGCGTGGATGTAGTGCGGATGACAAGAAACAGATGATTGCTGATGTATGAATGAAAAGAAGTTGGATGTCCTGGCCTAAGCGAAACAAAGCTGAAGGGGGTAGGAGAGTTTCAGTGGGGGAAATAAATGGGATTAAATCTGGAGTATCTGAGAGAGTTAGAGCAAAGGAAGGGGTAGCAGTAATGTTAAATGATCAGTTATGGAAGGAGAAAAGAGAATATGAATGTGTAAATTCAAGAATTATGTGGATTAAAGTAAAGGTTGGATGCGAGAAGTGGGTCATAAAAGCGTGTATGCAC